CACCTATCCAGGATGGCCTACCTGATCCTGATCCACACCTATCCAGGATGGCCTACCTGATCCTGATCCACACCTATCCAGGATGGCCTACCTGATCCTGATCTACACCTATCCAGGATGACCTACCTGATCCTGATCCACACCTATCCAGGATGACCTACCTGATCCTGATCCACAGCTTGTCAATTCTTTCACTTCAACCAATTCAATTTTATTTACAGGCACCATTCAAGTCACTCAAGGTCACTGTACAAAAGCATCTATAAGCAAGTAACTGTAAGGACATTACAGGCAGACAATAAAAAATAACAAATAAAGCTAGAAACAGATAAAATCACATGGAATATCCTACTCGTACCCCCATCAGCTTGCTGCAGCATGGTCTTATAGAGGATGGACTCCACCTCCTTGAAGACCACGTCTAGCTCTTCCTCTGCGTTTACCCTCACTAGGATATCCTGTCGTCTTGAGTACCATTTTTCCAGTTTGGGCCAGTTGCCATGGAAAGCAGTGAGTCTGGGTGTGGTGAACCGGCAAAGGAACATAACAGGGGCAGAGCACAGATTACTATGGATGTCACCTTTAAAGCACGAGGTGTGACCATCACAAGCACAACCTAACCTAAGGTCTTCCCACATGCTAACCTGCGCTGGACCTGGCTCATGTCCAGGCCCTTTGGTTTAAGGGCTGCTGCTTTTTCACTGTTCTGTGGTTTTGCTGAGGCTTCCTCCTCTGCCACTGGAGCTGCCTCCGTCCCAGACTCTTCCTTAGCTGGTCCGCTACCACCCTGCTCGACTGCAGGGAAAACACAGTGACACTGCTGCTACCATTTGTCAAGTGCACACCTGTTGTGAATTAATTATTAATCCCAAAACTGAAATGAATAATTAAACATGACTGTCATGCCCCATGTCTAATGTCTCCAATTGTTCGGAGCCTAAATTCTAAGAAGTGCATATGACTCATGTACTAATGTGCTGTTCATCTGCATCTTTCACTTTCTGCATTCACAGGTTTGCCCCAGAAAGATCTTTAATTCTCATACCTACCCTGGGGTCAAATTGACCCCAAAGGCACATGTTAAGTGACTTCTCATAGTAACATAAGTATCGTAGGAGCATGTTAGAGTTAAGTCTGTAAAGTCTGGGGTTTCAGATTGTGCTATAACTTTTGAGAACATCTTATAAAAGATGCCACCCATTGATAGATGTCTATTTTGCTACAAAACGATACATAACAACTTTATTTACATGCTTGCTTTGCAGCACGGTCAAGGACCAGATCATCAGGCACGTCCAGCAACAAAACCACATCCGGCACTGGTGGGGGGGGCGGGGCCTCCTTTAGGGTGTTTGGGTCCACAGCAAGGTTGGGCTCCCTGTTCCTTTGCTTCTTGCTGCCATCATCTGGGTTGAACCCACACAGAGCCTTCTCAAGAAGCTTGGCCTGGTTCAAGTGTACAGGGAACCCATCCAGGATCCAGCCCAACTCGGAAGGAACCCGTCTGTGGAAGGCCAGAAGGAGCTTGTGTGGGACACCTTCAAGTGTGGGACATTTCCCTCCCTCACTACAACTCTCACTTACTTATACTCAGGAAAAGGCATTAAAAGAAAGTAAGCTGTCCTGAAGCAAGTCTGCAGATGTGCCGCAGAAATGTTTGGACTCTGCATAACTGGGCCGGTTTAAAATAGAAAAGTTACTTTATTCCTTCCTATGGGGAAATGATGTTCTTGGCCATGCCACCTAGGCGAGAGCAAGGCTGGGGGTCACGGCGCAGGATTGGCCAGTGTTCAGCACCCTTGAACCAATCAGGGTGAAGGGCCTTGGTCAAGGGCCAATGGCAGCATTATGCTGTCGGCCAAGACATATGCGACCTTCCAGTCATGGGTACTTAACCACAGATCCACACACTGCCCCAAAACAGCAATAAACAAAATGTCCACAAGTCTGACCTGATGGCTTCCACGATGATCTCCACCAAGAGCTCATCAGGGATGGCCTTTCCCTTCCTGAGGATCTTCTCTGCTGCTGCTCCCTGTTGGGCCCTTACTGAGAGCTGAAGGAGGCAGTGTCACGATTAGCATGTATGTGTTCCCTGTTTGCATGAAAAGCTGCATGATCTTCAGCCATCTATGTTTGCATGTTCTGTTTAATGTGCATGTTATGCTGCGCCTGTCTCTGTCATCTGCGTATATGGGCAAGCCGTGTATTTCTGCAATGTCTAAAACTTGTGTATATAATTTGTGAATATAGATAAAGAGAAAGGAATCAAATTAGGTGTGACTGGGGTACCTTAGACTTGGGCTCCTTTTTCTGGGTCAGGTGCTGCTGAGAATGATGGGAAAGAAGGCCTGGGAGAGACATGCCACATGGGATGCGTCTTTCAGCTATACATTCAAAGGTCCATTCACTGATGTATTCCTGTTTATTTATATAATGTTTTAACCATGAAGAGAAAAGATCTGATTTAGAAACAGCAATGATGGTGCTATTTGTGTCTGGATGTATAGTAGAGCACCAGCAGTCATCATTTGAGATTTACAAAACAAAATCATATCTATGAATAATACATGCTCTCGAATGAGTAATTCATGCTCTTGAATTTAGTCCACACTGCTGCGTTTTTGTTTAAAAACACTGAGACATTAGTGTCAGTTTTTGCCTTTCATCCACATTACCCTTGAGTTTTCAACCCCAAGAAATGGAGACATTTGAAAAATCTGCGTTACCTGAACGTTGGTATTATGTGGTGATTATCATGTTGTGAAAGTGCACAAACACTACACCGATGAGTGTAGATAATGGATAGTGTATATTGCCCATTGATGTGACAGGTGAAAACTTCGATCGTGTTGTAGAACCTGAAAATATTAACCTATTTCAAAGATATTTTGCACGTTTAATAACGAGGTCCAGTGACAACTTTTCCACACTATTGGAAATTTTGATTTTTTTCACCCCACCCTACTACGTACGCTTTAGTGTTGCAGTGTGGATGTGTGAAAAGGCACACACTAAAAGCTCCCTAATTGGTTCCTACTCATCATGTAGCCTTCTCTAATTTGCTAGATAAAACTTCTCATTGTCTGATTGGTTACCCTATACAGAAGCAAAGTGTAGAAAAGGGTGATACCAAAGATTTTCTTTCGATGAGAATCAATCTAATACCATGGTTGGTATCACAGATTCCGATCCCAGTACGTCTGGTGCCAGCCCAATGATGATAAATTCTGCCCTACGGGGCACCAGCAGATCGATCATTCCATTTCCACGATCACTAGTGTCTACGCCCCAGAAAGTCTTCACCTTTCTCCCTTGGAGCTCTTTTCAGTCGCTGTTGCTGACCCATGTGCACCTAAATTGCATGTTACACAGTGTGACTGCTGGATATTTGTGCAAAAAGAAACTAACAGTCACCGTAGTTTCACTGTGGATGGAAACACTTTCGTAAACAATGTGAAAACGCCTGTGTGGATGGAAATTGTTTTAATTTGAAAACGGTTTTTAGATGAAAATGTAGCAGTGTGGAAACAGTCTATGCCCAGCAGTGCCATTAAACGCAGGTTAGTATGGAGTCACACGCACAGTACCTGACTCGATAGACTCAGTCACGTCCTGCCCTTTCCCATGTTCATTCTTCACCTCCTCACAGTCTTCACTGGAGGAGACTCTGCTCTCTGGAGGCTGATACTGAGAAGAGAATGTGTCCGGATGATTGCGCATCTCACAGAGATGGTCCTGCACAAGGCTCCCAGCTCAACATACTAACCTCAACCTCCTCCAGAAGTGTACCCAGGACCACCTCTCCTGTCCGAAAGGCTTCCAGGGCCTCCTGGACCAGAATGCTCACTGACAGGATATGGATGCCATGGACTAGGAAGAGGAAGAGAAAACGGTACATGCACTGCACACACATAACAGGGAAAAGACACAGAGAATGGCCTGAAGGTCTGAGGGAGCGAGCTGGACATACTTTGGCTAATCCGAGCAAGACAGGTGGTCTTTCCTGCAAAGGGCTTTCCCAGGACACAGGCCTTAAGGGTGAAACCCAGGACAAAGGATGGAGGGGTGGCCACCTTAGGGGACTCTATGATGGCCTGCAGACGGGTTACTACATGGGCCAGGATGCAGTTGTTGAGTGGAGGTTCTTTGCTGCCACCTTGCCCTGGCCACACCCACTCACCCATCATAGACTGAAAATGAGAAACACATCAATAAATATCTGCTCTCAGTAACGTACTACATTGATGTATTGCACAAAAAGCAAACTGATTAATATAATTTGAGAGAGTCCACTCATCAAACTGCCTATGTGAACTTAAAACTGGCACTTCTGGTCGGAGGACAAAAGCACCCTTACGTTTTGCATGCAAGATGGATACAGAAACTCTGCAGTAGCAGATGTTTGGTCACTGCTCTGTCTCCCCATCTCTGTAAATGGTATTTTTGGCAAGAATAATACAAACACCCACTGTATACTCATCGTAGTCCTGGTTGTTGAGAATCTCCAGCTGTTCTGTCTCCCTGGCCTGCTCCTGGGTGGGCTCTGAGGCAGGGTTCTCAACAGCACCCCCCTCATACAGTGGCATACCATGGAAAAACAGCTCCTTCCACTCCCGCATCAGCTTGGCTGGGATCCGGCTGCAACAGCAGCACCAGCAATCAGGTTAAATCTGATGCATTATTACATGTTTGACAATCAGAAATGAAAACATAGTTGACTTTATCCTATTCAGGGTTGCGGGGGGTCTGGAGTTTATTCCCCCGGGCTACGGGCGCAAGGCAGGGAACAACCTAGGATGGGGCGCCAACCCATCACAGGGCACAAAGCAGGGAACAACCTAGGATGGGGCGCCAACCCATCACAGGGCACACTCACACACCATTCACTCAGAGAGGCATACCTATGAGCAATTTGGTAAAGTTAACCTCAGTGTGTTTTTGGACTGTGGGGGGAAACCGGAGCACCCGGAGGAAAATCCCACGATAACACAGGGAAGACATGCAAACTCCACAAACATGGAGCCATGGCAAAGATTCAAACCCTGGTTCCAGAGGTGTGAGACAACAGTGCTAACCACTGCATCACCATACCGCCCGACTTTATATTTGATAAAGTAAATCAAAAAACACCAACTCAAAGATAATGACTGATCGACCGACCGACCGACCGACCGACAGACAGACAGACAGACAGACAGACAGACCGATAGACAGACCAACAGACAGATAGATAATACCCACTTTCCAGTGAGCAAGCGGAACTCCCCGACCCGGGTTGCCAGGTCCACCATCTGTCCAAGGATGTCTTGGCAGGCATCAAAGTGCTTCCTGTGCCGTGCCTGGGCCCGCTCGGCTGCAATGCGGTCATGCATCTCCTTTTCCCTGCGCAGCTCGTCTGTGTGCTCCAAACGGACCTGTTGGGCCAGGGCCTGCAAACGTTTCAGTGGGAGATGGAGAGGTCAAAGGCAGCGATGAAGCCTTCGGAGGAGAACTTACCGTACTACACTCCACACTGTATGCTCTTACAAAACAACTACAATCACAGCCATCAGAAACTGTCCATTAGTGTTGTATTCCTCCAAATTTACCCCGCAGTGACCTTTGACCCCAGCATTGAGTGCCTCACCGCCTCTCGGTCAAGAGCTTCCTGAAAGTCCCGCAGGCGCTGCTCCTGGTACTGCTTCTCCCGGAAAATCCGGTTCTGCCGCAGGACATCCTTCTGCTGATGGATCTGCATGAGCTGCACGACGATGCGCCTCTCCTGCTTGGTCTGCCGGGTCAGACGGGCCACCAGCTGCTCGTCACGGATCGCCTCCTGCAGGAGGTGCGCAGTTAGGGTTTGCAAAGCTCTTCCAGTTACGAAATGGGGCTAGATGGGATGGCAGAGCCGTAAAGCGGGAAGGACTAAGCATGTCCCAATAGGAAGAACGGTGCATAAGCACTAGACCTGTCATCAGAAGGGTTTAGGTTCTATATCCAGGTTGGGTCTGCTGGTCTACATTATCCATAACTGTCAATAAGAGCTTATAGAATTATGCAAAGAAGGTTGTTGTTAAAGTGAATAAAATAGGGTGGATCGCTACAGGACATTAGCATCATGCTAACATGCTCAGTGAAAAGCCCTCGGCCACCTGCTGTTCTTCATGGGCCTGCAGCTGCCTCACGAGCGCCTGCCTCCGCCGCTTCTCTCGCTGCTCCCGGGCCGCCGCGTCCCGCTCCAGCCGCTGGCGGATCTTCAGGACATACTCGCTGCTGGTTAGGGCCACCTCCTCGGGCCATAGGCCCTCGCTGGGGAAGCCATATGGCACGCAATGGGATCCAGTGAGCACATGGGATCCAGTGAGCACATGGGATACCAAATTCAATCCAGCAGCTTTAATGGCTTTTGGAATTGACATGACAGTCATCACCCGAAATAGGTCCCATTCTTAAGGGGTTCAGTCCAAGATGGATACATTTTAAACATATTTAATGGTTACTTTGAATAGCCCACTGTAGGATAAGTAGGTATGTATGTTTTGTGCCTTACGCAGTGCCAGCTAGGTATATACTGAGTGCATACAATCATTACATTTGCCTGAACTGGCAACACAGATAATATTTTCAGGGATTCTCTAGAATCCCTCAGGATTCCCTTAAGGTGTGATTTGGGATTAGCAGAAAAACGTTCCTATATTTTGGCACTCCTATCACTATCCTTGATCTTATGGCTAATATGGTTCATGAACAAAAAGGTTTAAAAAGGCATCAGACTCATCTAAATAAGAAACAGAATTTCAAAAATCTCTCTGGCTTGGTTCTCCTTCTTGGTTGCCCTTTGGTCACACCCATCTGGTTCAGGGATGTTCAATGACATAAGGTGCTGTGGGAGGCTGGTCAATGTCACATTATGACCTTTACTTTGTTTTTCACTGTATCATTTTTCTTACTGCTCTTGTTAACATTTTATAAGATTGTTGTTGATGGTCTCCAAGCTAATATTATTTGTCTTACCATAGATTGACCTCTGCATTTACACCTAAATGAGGGACTCACATTTTCATGCATCACCTTATATATGATCATAGATAGATGACCCACCTTGAAGAGAGGCTCTCTACAGGAAGTTGTTTTTTCAAATTCTTCTCAAATCGGGCAATCTCTCTTTGAACATCCTACAGTGACAGAACAACCAAAGTCTGACATTTTACCAGTCTGCTTAGCCCAAGTACTTCACCGGGCGAGACGTTCATTTCCACACAGCTGCCACATTATTAGCTACACCTAACAAGTGCCATTAGGACCCACAATTTCCTCCAGGAACAGGGTAGACATCCTTTCAGAGAAACCTTTCTCCATACCACTGCTGTGCTGAGCTCTTATTTTCCCACTCATGGCTTTCCCATTAGCTTTGACAAGTCTCGCCATTTTGACCACTGCCATTAACATGCCAGATGCCGTGCCTTATCTATCCAGAAGATCAGCTGAAGAACAACTAGACCTCTTGACCCATGCAGTCTGTGTGCTGGATGTATTCAGCTGCAGCCACATGATTCGCTGTGCAGTGCAGAAGTTTGTCTGCAGGTATACCTAGTACAAGCTGTCATAAATATATTTATGAAAAATTAATTCTAAATTTTTAATCTCCATGGAACGCAATTGAGAGCCTTTTATTTATTTAATCATATTTCCAAAATTTTACTTTTGAACAAATGCACTGATGTCACAAGGACTAGGACACAAGTGTCACTGAGCCCTGATGGTGTTCCAAGCCACAGCTCACCTGGGCCTCTTTCTGCTTTCGGTCCTGACGCCATTGACGCTCCGGGGGTCTCAGGGACTGCTTGGTCGGGGCCGTAGGGGTCTGGGCAGCCGTGTTCTGGAGCTGGACCATGAGCTCATGCTCCTTCCTGCGAGTCAGCTGGCGCTGAAACAACCAGAGAAAGACCTAACTGCACCAGAAGGGAGACAAGGGCCAGACAGACCACAGGGTCCCTGAAGGGCTTGCAGTAGATACCAAACCAAAGTCAAGACTGAGAGGTGAAGAACTGCTTATGTACAATTTTAATGTTATTTATATACTGCTTTTAACAGGGAACATTGTCATTAAGCCTGAGGTCCCCAGAGAGTAAGCCTGAGTCAACAGTTGCATAGAAATCTCCACCAGAGACTGGGAAACACCTCAGATGGAACCAGGCTCAAGGCAAAGCCAAGGACGGGACTGGGCGGTACAAGTTATTTCCAGCACAAATGAACAAAGCATTTCTGAAAGACAACATTTTACTTTGCTTTATTTATAAGTTTGACATGACAACATCAGGCTGTGACAATACCTCTTCAATCTCCTTAAGGTGCATATCCCTGTCAACCTTCTGCATCTCTTGCTGCTTTTCACGCTGCACCCTGGTGGACCTCCGGAACATCTCATGCCCTCGGAACTCATACCTCTGGGAGATCTTCTGAAGCTGTTTGTCCGCCTCACGCTTGACCACAGTCCTGAGGCGCTACCGAGATCATACGGAGAACTCAGCTAGATGGCCTCTAGAAAAAAGACCGGCTAGCAAAGCTGAAACCATGGGCTGCATGAATTGGTTACTGCTGAGCGAATAAAGGGGAAATAGCACCCCTATGTAAGTCAAATGGAGGGGGCCGGGTGAAGGCTTCCCCACCTCATTGTAGACCTCCCTCTCCATGCGATGCAGGCGTGCTGTGGCAGCAGGCTGCATGGTTTCCATGATGGCACCCGTCAGACCCACTCGCCTCTTCTTCTCCAGCAGGACATAGAGCTGGTAGAGCAACCGTGTGGCAGCACCTGGGACCTCCTGCATCAGGGCCTGCGCAAAGCCCGCATCAAACGCCACTCCAAGCAGCTGCAGTGTGGGCTCTATCCGGGTGTAATTATTCAGCTTGGCGTTTGCGGTCCTGCAGGCCCAGAAGGTGGCAGACAAAAATAACGACTGCAAAAAAAGACTTATTTTGCTTAAAGCAGGTGTAGGAGATCCCGACCCTCGCAAGAGGGTATTCTGGTCTGTGATTCATCAGCCTTGATTGTCTACGGGCGGCATGAACTTGCGCAATTTATGTAAAACCAAAAAGATTCACAACAAAATATATGGAAATAACTAAGAGTGGTATATGAATTACTAAGTACTATAAGCAAAGAACACATTTCATTAATTAAGGGAGGAGAACACATAGGCGTTCATATTTGGAAAGACTTCTAGTGACCTTTATGTATATATGATGCATTCTTCAGAGATAATTAAAAAAAAATGCTAATGTATAGCTTTAACAAATACGTGCCTAACTGTCTGTTCTATCAACAGCTTAATTAAGGACAATTAACGAAGAGCTCATTGGGGAACACCAACACACCTTGTCTTTGTTTAATTAAAGTTATAAGAAAAGGTAATTAATCTTCTTCTGCTGATGAACAGAAAAAAATATTAGGTCGGGTGTATGTGTTATTGAAGACGTGTCTCGTTCTAATCTATGGCTAAAATAGTGTATATATATATATGGCTAAAATAGTGTAAATAGTGTTGCACCACTTAATTCAGGTGACGTCTCCAAATTGCACTAAGAAAACGTGTTTTATGCTGGGGTCAGTGCAAATGTAATGAAGTCGGTGAGGGGATATATTTTTCATGTACTTGATGATGGGAGCTACAGAAATGAAAAATCAAAGGGGATGCCTTTTTCGGCAATCACCTGCCAAAAAAGGCATCCCCTGGTTAATCTGGATTTGCTGTAGCTACACCGCTGAAACTTGCACAGGTTAGTTTAGACCCTCTCAAATACAAATTACAAAAGGCCCTTGATGATGTGAGTTACAGAAATGCAAAGTCAAAGGGGATGCTTTTTTCAGCAACCAGCTGCCAGAAAAGGCATCCCCCGTTAAATCTGGATCTACTGCAGCTACACCGCTGAAACTTGTACAAGTCAGTTAGGACTCGCTCAAATACAAATTACAAAAGGCACTTGTTGATGGAAGCTACAGAAATGCAAAGTCAAAGAAGATGCTTCTTTCGGCATAACACCCGCATCTGGAGTGCACTCCTGCCTTGTGCATTCTGCTCTTTCTGTCTCAGGTGCCCCCATGACCTTGATCTGTCAAAGTCGCTAGACGAGGGGTGGATGCATAAATACAATCATTAATAAAATATTTGAAAATTATTTCCTTTCACTTGTTAAATGTACTACAGGACACAATCTGTATTTAGTTTTTTAACTATAAGGAGAGCACTAAACACGAGAGCTAAATATCTGGCAATGCGTAAAAAATGCGTGGGGAAAAAAATCTCAGATAAATGAGGTCAAATTAGAACGGATCGCCCGATACAACCCACTTAGGTTTTCAGCACAAAGCATCGCATCGCCGCTTCACTTACCTGCCTTTTGAAAATTGGTCGAAATCGTCCTGAAGCTGGTATTTATACAACATTTCGCCTATCAGGTATCCATTTGCGAAATCCGCTGAAAGCGTTTTCGGATCTGCAAAAATGTGACACATCCTTTCGTTTTTCTACAACTATATATTTAATCATGTGTCTCTAAGATACACATACAGCACTAAAGATAGCAGATGTCTCGCTTAAATAATTTGCGGTTTAGGGAAATAGACTCACCGACACATTTTGATAATTTAAGCTCTGAATTGATCCATCGACACAAAATTTCAGACATCGTGTGTTTTTTTTTTAATTCTTTTAAAAACCAGGAAAGGGGAGAAATGTGAAAGCTAACTAAAGAGCATTTTAAGGTGGTTGGCGTGCCGTTGCCCTAGCGACCGGTTGGCTTGCCAACGGTTTCAATGCGGAAATGAAGGTCCTGTTAACTTTGGTATAGGGTGTATCTCTACTTAGTGCTAATTCGTGAGTCTTTCATGACTGCTGGCAACACTGACCTACAATGCATTTAAAGTTGTATCGATCGCTGTGTGGACAATAAATATACAAACTCATATTGCCTCCCTTCCAAGAGCCCAGATTATCTTTTTAGTCTGTGACAGTTGTCTATAATAGCATTTGTATAAACTCTCAACGTAAAGTGTTTATATTCCTAATTATATGTTACGCAATGCGTAATGTGAGTCTATGGGAGAGCCCTTAGTCGCTGCAAAAAGGTTTATTAACCAGAGATGTTTGTAGCTAAAAGGTAAAACTCACCTCGAACCCCATCAGGAAAACTCATCTGAATATGAATGGATGAGATATAAAACTAAATAAATCTAAAATTGCGCACGGTAAAAATAAATTCATAAACAAGGACAATCAATGCACGACGTGTAATTCTTTATTAAGATATAAAGCCCAGTTTTGCCATAAGCGCGATGACAGGATGTGGCTACATGAAACAAGTTAGCACGTTGTACATAAAGCGAAGCGCCCATCTCCCTTACTGCTTTAGTGTTACAGTCGTACACAAACACTGCTGTAAAATATTTTGAGGACTATTTTGTCCTACACGCGATCAGAAATTTACCATGCATATTTAGGCAGTCAGTATAATACATAGCGTTTACATAATCATATAATTCAGTGTACATATATGTATGTTTTCTTAAAAGGTTTCTACAACGGAAAAGGGAAAACACATTTATCAGGTAAAAACCCTGGAAGTCTGATAAGCTCCACCACCACCGTCAATACACACTTTACAAAGGTACTCCTTCATTGTCCAGTGCGGCCACAGTTATTTTAGACATCACATTTCATGGTATTGTCAACAATATAATTATGGATGTAGCTTAAATCTAGCTGCTCTGTAATGTAGTGCAAGCTCAACAGGAAGGCAGCCAATGTTCACCGGGACTTGCCACTAGGGGTACTGAGAAAACTGCTCCCTTGTATTAGCTACCAATAAAAGTCCAGTTGATTCCAATACGGAGGAAGCACGGGGGGGGGGGCTGCTCCAACAATCTGATGCTCTTTTTGTCATTCAGTCATTCAGGATGGAAGAAACCACGTGGATATAGCATGGGTGGGGGTTATATTTGAATACAGTGGAAAATCCCTGAAAGTATTTCAAAAGTTGTGGAATTAAGAGAAATTGAATTTAAATTCAAAGTCACGTTCACATTGCACATTCTGGACTATGTAGTCCAATTCAACTTTCATTTCTTTAATCGAGCTACATTACCATTTCCAAAGTTCTGAATAAACCCCGTCAACAATCCCTTGTCATTGGGTAAGAACTCCAAAGGGTCAGTGGTCAGTTGCTGCAATGTGAATCAGATATCGATTGCTGAAAAATCTGATCAATTTCCAGACAGTGCCCTTCCCTGACCCGATTTGTCCCGGCAGAGACAGTGATCCCTTTCTGACCACTATGGTCACTACGAGAATAAGTCCAATAGATTTTCACTGTTCCTCCAATGTTCCGGAAAATTTAAGTCATGGACCAACATCCCAACATCTCAAAGTACATTAGTAAGTACATTCTTTCTCAAAAAAATTGCCAACTAGCGAAGCCTTTTATCTGAAGAGACTTGCATAGCTTAAGGATATAATTTTTTTCTTTTTTACATATCTGGGAATAATACAGATTCACTTAAGTATCTTTAAGGGTACAACAGCAGGATACCTCCTTGAAACAGATTTACGGCTCCTTTTGACCGTGCTGCCTGCTTGCCCTAAGGAAGCAAAGGGGCACCACACATCCAGTGCTAAGTTCCAGTTTCCCCAAGTTGCTGGGACTGCGGCAGACCCAGCATCACCCCACAGCCGCATCTGTGACATCGTATTAGTGCGTCAGTCTTTTGTGACGAGACAAACTCCCAAATAGACCACTGATTTAGTTATTTTGCAATTTTTAACACTAACAAAAAAAATTCACAGTAGTTCTTTAAAAAAATAAAACGTCAGTAAAGCTACTCTTTGATATTAACAACCATTCCCTTCATGCACAGTGATACCTGTCTGTGACCAGTAGAGAAATTGATCTGTATTGAGGCACTAATAAGACCCTTTCAAGCCTGAAAGCAAATTCAACCTTTGAACGTTTCATTTACAGATATGAATCATACAGACAAATGACATTGAAAGGCATTAAACACTAGTGTTTTTTTTTTATAATGACAGATTCTCACACAACATGGTTTTTGGTGCGTTATCTTTGTAATCTATACTTTATATGCTTGAACATAGTAGCAGTAAATACTTCTGCTTATAAACCAATATAAGATAGTGATACTACAGCCTTTAACACAGATTTAACTGTAAATTGAGGATTAATGGATGAATAATCCCAAGGCTACTGTGTGCATCTGCATTTTGTTTTTGCAGACTGACTAGCTTTGTATGCAGTGAGGAGACACAGAAAGGTTACAGCCTACAAAGCACACAAACACTTAAAATAGTACTGGCTTGGTTAACAACACAGAAATAACTACATTCCAGTGAGATCTATGAGGAAATACACCTGGTTTTTCCCTGCCCCTTACATGCCTGTCAAACATTCTTCCCCAACAGTCATTTTTCAGTACTTCTTTCTCTTCACCTGGAGACACAAGCGATGCAAGCAACAATAGCATTAACCAATGTTCTGCATTAATAGTGCCTCTCAAGCATATCTTTCCAACAAGTCAAATCAACAAAATAATCCATTCTACTAGGGGGCACTGCAAGAACTGGCACTGCAGTTTCACCAAGATCAGGGTTTGCCTGAGCCTGAGAGGAGATTCCGAAACCAGGTGGTAGAAGGAGCATGACTGCAGTTCTCTTCTCCCGAGGGCTCAGGGAGCAAAAATTGAGATGAGTTGACCGACGTAGGGCTGCCCAGGGAGCTGTCCAAGCTAGTCTCTTCTGGAGAGTCCAGCTTCCAGGAGCACTGGGGCTGGTATCCTGTGTCAGCATCTAGCTGGGGGTCGTCGGACACTTCAGCCTGATTGGGAACGGAGGCCATCTGGGGCCTATACCCACCGGAGAGAGGGGCCTCCATTGTGGCAGGGACGCACGCAGAAGAGCAGGCCGAGGTTGATGACATCTGGATCCCAGTGTAGGTTACCTCAGTGCGGGCAGAGCCCGTGGACCTGGAGGACAATCCAGACGATCCCGTACCAGTGGGTGCCAGCCCGGGATCCTCCCCGACCACCTGGTTGTAATACCGGAGGAAGGACTGCTCATCCGAGTCCATGTCGGGGGGCTCATTTCCCCATTGCTCTTCCTCCTCAGGGTCCTCCAGAACCACCTTTAACTCTTCCTTGCCAGACATGCGGCGCCGGTTCTCCACAATGTGCACGGAACTGTGGGCGCACGGCGTCATGTCCAGCGTCTGGGTGCCGAACGCCTTAGGAAAGCAGAGGTTCATTTTAACCCAGTCAGGCCAGGAAGGGAGAATCTAACAGGAGACCATGCAAACTGGAGCTCACCTGTGTTGGCTTCCACTCTGGTACCCTGGGCTCAGGAATCTCGGGGTAGAAGGTCTTTTTCATCCTATGAGAGAACAAGGTTTTAAAAAAAAAATCTAGATGCCTAGGTGTCCGAGACCCACACAGCATACAAAGTGCAATCTGCATTGAAACAGGCAACAGTGCACTGACTTTCTATTGCAAATACACACAATGGTATGGTCTGTGACAGGACTCTCATTCTGCAACAAGTCCTTCACAGAAAGAGCTGGCTTGCCTAAAGTGGGTTAGCTGTAAGGTATTAAAAGAAAAACAGAAATCCATTATTTTCCCATCTACCTAACTGCTCATCCTATTCAGGGTCATGAGGTACCATTCTTCTTATAATCCTGTTTATAATTTAATGTACTTCCAGTCAATCTAAATCAGTCAAGCAATAAATCATTCAAACAAAACCTAAGTGAACATTAGCAAATCGCTAAGTTCTCAGCAAATCAATAGCTAAATCATATTCTTCCCATAATTTGCGAAATAGGTTCTTTGTTCCTCTAAACGTTTTACCACAAGCTCCTTTCCTTTGGGAATTGTTCTGTAGTCAGGGCACCTTCTGGACGGGCTGAAAGCATAAAACCCAGATCACTGGGAAATGGAGAAACCACAGCTTACCACTCCCTCTTGCTGTAGCAGAGTGCAGTGACAAGAACCAGGAGGACAGCCATGGAGCCGGCAGCAATGAGAATCTCCATTATCAGGAGGTCAGCTGAAGAACATCAAAATATATCCATTAGCACAAGAGCCATCCAAGGCAAAATATGACAGAGCAAGGAAATATACCAATGCAACTGTACCTACAGTACTCAGGGAGAAAGGGGAAAAAAGTACCCAGAACAGGATGACTAGCTAGACAAATGTATTAGAAACGCCAACTAACCAACGACTGATAAACATGCTCATATTTGTAACAAAGCATGTGAACCGCTACACCAAAAGGAACATCAGGACCAAAACAGCCAAACACCCAAAAGTGGTTACTTACTGAAGGGGTCTAGTTTGATGGACACAGTGGCCTCTTTTCCAGCTCCCGCTGAGGTATAAGCCTTCACTGTGAACTTGTAAGTAGCGTAGGACAGCTGCGTGGCAGTGTAGCTCATGGTGGAAGGATCTGTGATGTTCTCTGGAGAGCCATAATCAAAAAGACAGAGGAGGATTTGGAAGCTGCTTTGGATAAAAGCATACTGTACCTCAAATTAAAACCGGGATTCAATTAATATCAGAGTCTCAGATAATGGCTGGCGAAGGGGGTTGACAAACAAATACAGGCCGGGCCCCAAATACAGGCCGGGCCCCAAATACAGGCCGGGCCCCAAATACAGGCGCATTAACTCCTGCTGGCTCATTTATAAAGGCTTTGTACGAACCGAATAGATGGCATTTGTACGCACATTTATATGAAGACTTCGGGATTTATAAAGAAATAAATAAAATATACTTTGAAAAAGTTCGGACATTTACGACTGGTGCACTTGTACGAACGTTTTGAACGGAAAAAGCAACATCTAGAAATGTGCATCTAAGTTGCCTTTAGTCAGTTTTAGCACCTGGTGAAATGAGCATGTACCGTTACACAGATTAAGAGAATACTTCCAATACATGTAGCTAGTATGTTTTACAGTGTTGAAACTGACACAATGGTGGTGTTTCACTCATTCATATACAGAATTTGCATTAACAGAGTCATGCATTAATAGAGGGAATGAGAAATAAAGGCCTGCCTCTAATACAAGCCTGCCTCAAATAAAGGCTTGTTACTTCTGCGGCTTTGGTTAATAAAGGCGGCAGGCACTATTTGAGAAAATACGGTAAGCTGAAATTGATAAAAAGCAGACCAGTGACAGTCATGAAAGAGATACATACAATGCATTATTTGTCATAATTAGAAAAGGCTGCCACAGCTGCTGTATGGGATGTTGTATGTATGAATGAACAGAAACCAGTTTGGTGCTGGCCCACTTTTGGGGCTAATGACTGCTTTTGGGGATTAGGCCCTGCACCTCTTTTAAACCTCTTAAGATTAAGGTACATGACCATTCCCCTAGTACTGCATTCCAGTTTAAGTTTGTGTGCCGGCCCTTTAAATATTCATATTGTAAATCTAAAGTTTTTTTTTTTTTTTTTGCAATTCACAGTCACACCCATTTTTGTGCAATCAGAATGGTGTCTCATGACCATTGGATGGACAGTGTAAGATCACTTTCTATCAGACGTGGGGCATCGTGTGGCTCCGTAGGTTCAGGACTCTGCTGCCGCGATCAGATGGTCACCGGTTGGAGTTCAGTGGTCGGTAGAGTGATTTCATCACTGGGTCTTTCAGCAAGACCCTTAACATCAATTTGCTCCAGGGACTGGCTGACCCTGATTTCTCAAAAATGTATGTCACATTGGATAAAAGGGCGCTGCTCAATAAATCAATGCACATACAGTATGAATGTTTCATAAATTAACCAAGCTCCAGGAGTGAGCCTAGCCCTAGTGCACAGATCATCCTACATCCAGAGATGATGGGATTTTGCAAAGGCAACTGAAGAGATGGGTACCTAAAAGCTGAAGATGGGTGACATTGTAGAGGTAAATCAGGTATCCACGAATGAAGCCCCTTTGGCCTTCCAAGGGAACAGGGTCCCAGGAAAGCCGAACGCTGGAGTCTTCCTGATCAGCCATCAGCCTGGTTACGGTCCCAGTTGGGGCTGGAAAGATGAGAGACCTTAGTGAGGTGGGAGATAGACAGTATGAGCAGATATGAGCAGAGGCACCATCTTGGCCTCACCTTGCTCCTCCACGTATCCCAGCCTCTTCTCCAGGAGCAGTGGAGCTCCAGGCGTGCAGGCGTACACAGAGAAGGTGTATCTCTCCCCAGCTATGAAGCTCTCTGAAAGTCAAGTCAGAAAGGTCAGGTGCAGGCTCCTCACACAAAACAAGATTCTTCAATGAAGATATCAGTCTTTTTTTATTCTATATGTTCTAGTGGTCTCTTTTGACTTAGCAAATGAAGAGGAACTGCAAATTCCATGAGAATATGTGAAGAATTCATTAAACTATGGATGGAAGGTAGATAGAAATATCTGAGTAGAGTGCTTTTCTTCTGACTGCTGATTTTAACTAATGTTTTTTCACTGCATCTATGTTTCAGTCCTTACCCAAGTATTCAAGACACCCCAGATTCTGAACCCTCTACCCTGGCGTTGGAGCTGAACCCTCACAGACCCTGCTGAGGCGTTCTCCACGGTGGATCCCCAGCACATACCCGACTGGATTCTGGTACTGCTGTTGTCCCCAAGCAGTTTCTCCCAGTCCAGGCTGCAGTTCTGCTCCCAGCTCATATGGTACCAGGTCACCACATAGCCGCAGGTGGAATTGGGGCTCGGCGGCCAGGACAGATGGAACATTCCGTCTCTGCCCACCATCTCGGAAAGAGCGCTGTCACCATCTACAAAAAGATCCAACGGGCCTGCTCACACAAGGCTGGCATAACCAGGTATCTGATTCAGTAACTGGAAAGTTCTGATGTTCTACATTTATGATTTTTTTTTTTTTGTTAGAAGTTTCAGATCTGCTGGAGTCTATCCACAGCTCCCAGTAGAAACACTGAAATGTCACAAAGGGTCAAAAAATGGGCCTCTAGCAGCCAGATCCAGCCGTGGGATAGACATTGTAAAATATGACTTAATCTGTGGGATATCCCTAGAGCAGCATTTCCCAAGCCGGTCCTTGGGGACCCACAGATGGTCCACGTTTTTGCTCCTTCCCAGCTCCCTAAAATGTTCACACCAGGGAGCTGGGAGGGAGCAAAAACATGGACAGTCTGTGGGTCCCCAAGGACCGAGTTGGGAAATGCTGAGCTAGACCACAAGCAAGAGCCAGCCACATGTGCATCACCGAGTTTCCTATCCTATGTTCCATCTTACCTTCCGGGGAGTTTGGAACAGTCATGCTGATGGCAGGGGAGTCTCCTGCATTATTCCACGCCATCACTGTGACTACATAATCACTGGAAAGGCCCTCCAACCTGATGGGGACATGGTATGGCCCAGTTGAGGGGACAGAATTCCGCTGCACCCCGTTACCCGGGGTACTCCAGCTGACCTCGTAGCCCTTAAGTTGCCCGTGTCTCTGACTCTTTGACAGAGGCTGTGGACAGAAATGTACATAAACTGTTAGCCAGGGTGAGAGCAAAATCTGGCAACTTGGATTTATTTGAAATAAGGTGGGGGGCTCCGACCTTCCAGACGATGCATCTGTCAAGTTCACTGCGCATCTGGACCCAAAAATCCACTGGGTCAGGCCCTGAATGTGAATGGCAAAAAAAAACAAAAAAACAGTTGTATCAACCCATCAACCCAAATGTCCCTGGTCAAATTAAATTTGATCAACACATTATACAAACACTGGTTCCATGTAATAACGTAATGAGTAAGAGTTACCAGTAATGCTTAGACACCTAAATCGCATACAAAAGTCAACACGTTTATGGTGACGTCAGGGAATGATTTCAATGGACACATTTAAGAGGTACTTACGGTCCTCCTTGGTTCTGAAACGTATTTCTGAACTCCAGTCACCCCACTTCCAGAAATTCTGCTGGGTGGCGCAGCGAACCTGAGCGGCGTACTTCGAGTCTGGCCGCAGGTCCCTCAGCAGAGCCTGGGTCAAGCCTGGTCCCACATAGATGTGTGGGGTCTGCGGGGCGCACAGAAAAACCGGCAAGGTCTACGTCAAGGTCTACGTCATCGAACTGCACTAAGCTGGGGCAGCTCGCTTTCTCACGATACCACCGATGCTCTCTTTACACCCTATGCTTTTCATGGAGCTCTCATCATTTTAGGAAGAGAAAGCAAAGTGCAAGCATTACCACAATGCCAATAACTTCACACTTCAGTATGATACAACAAAAAGTTCCAATTTAATAGCATTTTCGATACTCACAATAACATAACAATAAAAAGTTAAGTTCAGCTGCAATTTTGTCTGTAGTAAAAACGTTTTAATCGTTTATTATAACCTGTATTTTAACACACAGAAACAAAAATGCATGTCATCTCTACTATATCCCGAAACTTTGTATTGTATACAGTCTTCATTTAGCACAAAGCCAAAGCATGTCTAGCCGCCCCTCTGGCTACTCTATCGATTAAGCACAGTGGCGAAAGCTCTGATGCTCGCAAACTCGCCATATGTAAAAACCTCATGTGTCGTACTCCACCCAGTTCTAGGTATGTGCATTGGAAGCCTACCAATCTCGGTGGTCAGAGCAAACTGGAAGTGTAGGCTGTAGAATCCATACCAAGAATCAGTATTTAATCTGTTTTATACATAATAGAATCTATACTTTCAGTACTTCATACTTTTGACGGTAAGCATGATAAAAGTATTTTCAAATTTTAAATTTTTTTCTACCCATCCATCTTCTAATCACTTATTTAATGCATGGGGGAGTGAAAACGTGTATTTATAACATTTACATTGATCAGGCTCTTTACATAAGGAATTATGGTGTTAGACATATGGTTTGCTAGTTGCTCAATCCCATGTTCCGTGAGCACAAGATGTTCTTTTAGTTCACGGAATACAAGGGATCCATCAGAGCTACATTTGTCGTATCCACAAGATAGGATAACTTTGATGTGATTATAATTTGCTGTTTAGTTGTTTACTCTAGATGTCTGATGCATTTCCCAAGATTTCTGAAATGCAGTCTTAATGGATTTTCAAAAACACTTATAAGCCAGAGTAATGCATTGGTCTGACCAAGAAAAAAAAAAAAAACAACAGGAAATAAGGAAGTTGAATGCAAACTGCAAAACATTATACAAATTCCCGATACTGCAAGTTAAAGTCATTATGAGTCTGATATACATTTTTGTTTATGAGAAGAGAGAATGTTGCTGTGATGTTATATGCTCACACAGGAAGCAAAGCCCTTTACAGCAAACATACTGGCTTCTGTCCACTTACCGGTTTAGGATTCCCATCGCTGAAAATCCACACCTGACACACAAGAGGCAGCTTTCCGTACCACGGCACCCCCCAGTGCCACCGCAGGCTTGCATTCCAGGCTCCCAGCAGCTCGACGACGACCTCTGGAGCTCGTGGGCGTACTGGGGGGTGGACGGAGGGGTCAGAAACTGCCTGGATGTCACTCTATATTGGGGTTAACTTGGGAATGACTGCGCTCATAATCGGTGGCGATGATGCCCAATGGGTCTACACCACGCAATTGGGGCTATTGCACAGGAACCAAAAAGATGTCTAAATTTTTATAAGGTCCACTAGAGCACCAGTGAGTAAGATACTCAACTACCTGGCTTCAGAACATTCATGTGGAATATGAAACCATGCACCTAGAACCCAGGCAGGGTTAGGGAGCGCTCACCTCTGTGACTCAGGTCCACAGTGTCCATGAGTTCCACCTTCCCCAGAAGATTCCTGGCTGTCAACGTCCAGTTCTGTTCTCCCGGTGCCAAAGTTATGTTGAATCTGCACTTGTGCTCTGTGGCAGATACTGTATTTGCACTCTCACATTCCCTGAGATGAGGGGCAAGCAGAGGAAATCGTTCTTGGTTAGTTCCGCTAATGTTGCAAGAGGTGTTGAACTAGAGACTGTGCTAAAGATGCTCAAGGCCCGACCAGAACCAACATACCAAAGCTCAGAATTCCCCATATAAAACAGCAAATCTAGGGTCGAGCACAGATAATGTGCTCTAGCATGAATGAACGAACAGTACAAGAAAGCCATAATTCAAAGAGCTTGACAATTTTTTCATTATTTACATTTTTTTTGTAATCCACCGATAAAGAAATTTCTGGCTGATACTGACAGCCAGTTATTTCAAACTGTCACCGATACATTACATTCCAAAAATATGAAAAGTATTTTTAGTAAGAAAATACCACCTTTGGCACATAACAGTCCCAGTGAGCTATATTTTATAACGGCACACGTTATATATTTATAACATTTATAACACAGAAAAGAAGGCTGCACTGCTTCCAAAGAACGCTAGTCCAACAAAAACACGAGCATTTGATAGCAAAAGGAAATTCAGCACAAACAGTACAAAATCAAGAGATACTAACCAGAAAATTACGGAGTTTATCACACTTGATCAGGGCTCTACGTTCTACCCAAGTCAAAAAAATTTAGGAGCACAGACAAATATTTGGGAACACAGTCAGTTCTGTTTAAGGACTCAAGGAAACTTAATGCATCATTATAATGCAATTTCACATACAAGCTAGGGCTATGGAAAGGTTGAGGGGACCAATCAAATTTTTGTGTTGAAATTATGAATCGGTAGATCCTCCTCATGAAATTGTAGCAGAACAATGTTTGCAAAATGCATTTCTAATGTTTTTAGCTAATGATAAATGATTCAACATAGCAAAAATGTTTCTAATTGCTTAGTACATAGATGTGCAATGCAATACGGGTCACCATTTTAATGGGAATTACGGGCAGTAAATATTGGCTAGCCGACGGCTGCTGTATCTGCCAGTACGGATAGTTGGCGAATACAATTGGTGCATCTCCATTTTACTTAGTGACCTGAGGTGAGAAAAATAAACTGGCAAAGAAAAAAAAGAGAGGTGGCAATTAACCTTTCATTCAGGGAGTAGAATGTCCGCCGTGACCCATACAGGTATGTAGACTTCCCAAGCGACCAGCCGCACTCCACCGACTGCAAGTCCCGTGTGTCGCAGACCAAGTTCCGGGGATCGGGAGGGTCTGCAGGCCAACAACACAGCACTGATGTCGGTTCTCTATGACACTAACAGTCCGCACTTTCTCTGATCTGTAAACCGCAGGACTATCCAGGTCATCGTCACCGTTATCGCTTTGTAGTCGTCTTCCAAAAAACTTTCCATTTTAGCCAAAAGAGGGCAAAGTTGAGCAAAGAAAAGATACGCTACTGCAGCGTCAAAGGCTTTAACTACCTTTCTGGCTCATTTTCAGGCATGACAGATGCTGAAATACACCCACGGTTCCCAAATTAAGGGGGTCAGGGTGGGTCCAGGACCCCAAAAATCCATGAGCAATTGGAGGAAGTCTGGTTTCAACATTGGTAGGGACCAAATCAGTCCAGAAAACAATATTGGTAGGAACATGTCCTTACATCCATATTCAAATCTATGCCCTTGCCATGTTAATTTACCATAATTTTACCATAACCCCCCCCCTCCATCAAAGTGAGCCTAATAAAATTAGTCCTAGTATGACTTTGGTATAACTAAAAACCAAAAACACTGTAAAAGGAGAAAGACTCAGGTTAGAAGAGTTTGACGCACCATCAACAAGCTGAATAACAAATACGCATGACAATAAGTAACACCGTAATATATACTCACTACCAACAAAGACAACGGCGCCGTCTGCAAACTCTCTGCTCTGATAGAGGCAGATGACATTAGTCCCTGAGGAGTTGGAGGCCTGCTGATTGATCCTGACGCTTACGTAGCTCCGCCTGCTTATTCGAGTGAAGGGCAGTTTGACGCTGCTGTCCTTGATGCCGCCAAACTTCTTGCCGTCTGGCACGATGCAGCAGAAGGTTGTGTTGCTGCCCACAGGAACCACTTTGTCCTGAGGGTACAACTGTGCTCTTCTGTATTCTGGAACATCCTTTCCTGGAGGGAAGTCATAACCAACAGGAAGGAAGAGGTCACATGAAAACAAAGCCCAGCACTGGCCTATTCTGGGTGGTCCAGGAAAGACCCCCATCCAACTGTATATGTAGGTGGTCCTGAGAGGTCATCTTTTTAGATGTGGATTTCAATGACAAAAAAAAAGTTAACTTCAGCTTAATTGAAAGTGATCACTGTCAACAGGGTAAGCGAAAATTAAGACTAAAACTAGAAGTGAAAAAATGATCAACTGAAATAAGCTTTCAAAAAAAATAAAAAACTACAATGAACAATGTAATATGAACCACAACAAAATAGCAAAGCAGGCAAAATCAGCCTCATTTTAGTTTTTATCCCCTTGACTTGCAGTGTGGTTGTGAGCTGCAATTTACGTCACACTGCACCGCCCACAGGAAGTAAAGACTGTCATCCGCTATGTTGGTGTATTTCTGTTCTAGTTGAGGTATTCGTGTATACTGTATTTCAGCGTTCGTGGAAGGTTGGGTGTGCAGTTTTCAGCTGGACCGACAACAGTGTACGTGACAAAAGGTAAAGGGGTAAAAGTAATTATGGTAATTGTAATTAATCTCTGCTCTCAGAATCAAGGATAAGTTTTAATTAATGAGCAGCGCTGCACATTGTCTCCATTCGCTGTCTCACTGACACACAGATGTGCTGTGCAGTGCAGTGGTTATACGAATGAAAATTTACTCCTCTAGGCTAATCTGTTGTTAAAAATGAAACTACTGCTAAATGGAAACCAGTTACCAAGTTTTGTTTAATGACTTGCCATTGGATTCATGTTTAATAATTATACCGATTTATTTCTTCATATTCCTATACCTATTGTCAAAATTAAAACAGAGCTGGTAAATCACTGTTAGAGTCTTTCACACATTCAGTGTTGAGTGAAATGTTATTGATTTTGGCATTGTGAGTGTTGAGTGTGAGTTTTGAAATTGGTGTATTAACCTTTGTTTCAGCATTATCTTAACGCTTTGAATAACAATTGTCTTATTGCTTTAGTTTACTATTTATAGGAATAATTCTTCACTCTCTAACCACTCACCCCCAGGGATTTTCACTAGGGGACACCCAGGTAGTCTTTACTTTCTCCAAAAGGGGCAAATCTCATCAAGTGTCTGCATATTGTAATGAACTGGGAGCATCAATAACCCAGGTCCTTCATAGGTATGAAAATATAAGGTGAGGGGTTTGGAAGGGAATGTTAAGGCGGGAAAACAACACGCTTCAGACGTTCTCCCTAGCTGCAGAGCATAAGCATGTCACTTCCAGTGTGGGATCAAAACATGGTACTAAAAACTAAAATTAATACTGAAACTAAGGCCAGAAATCACAGAGAAAACACGACTAAAACTACTTGTACATTCTTAGAAGAAACTGAAACCGAACTGAAACTGAAAATGCAAATTTGAAAATAACCACCCTGACTGTCAACATAAGAAATACAGAAATATTAAAAACATAATAATTAGCAGCCTGGGAGTGCAGGAGCCCCCAGGATTGGGGCTGTGAAGACCACCCCTGCTCTGTGGGAGTTCCCCTTACTTGTGGCCAGTTTTTTTCCCAGCCACCCCAGAACTGGACTAGGGGTTAGGATGCTGGATGGACTTTAACCATGCATGGCACTACAATTCGGTTTTATTCCTCCATTACTCTTCACTACCATTTATCCTTTACAAGGTGAGAGTGAGCCTGGGGCTCAGTGGTGGAAACGCAGGGCACGATGTGTGGGGACACCCTGAGGGGGACACAAGGCCATCACAGGCCACCAACACACACTAGGGGACACCAGCTGAACTAACTACATGCTTTTGGACTGCAGGAGGTTGTCACGCTGCAGTGTCACTTACTGAGCCACTTTTTACTATACCTGTATAAATACGGCTGTCAGTGTGAGGGTCATTACCAGTAAGGTTCCATGGCTCACTCCACTCGCTGGAAAACTGCAGCAGTCTGGAGCGGATCCTGACCGACAGGGAGGTGCACTCCAGAGGAGTAGGGGAGGTCCACTTCCACTCCTGGACGGTACCGTCAGTGCGGGGTGCCACTGTTTCCTGGGGAAATAACATTTCACTGAATGCAGGGTGAAAAGGAGAGCATCTGTCAAAAAACTGAACCTGTGATCCAGAATTTCTCCATGGGATCAATGCAGTATTATTTTAGCTTTTATCATCAAGATCGTTGAAATCTAATACCCAGAACTGGCAATCCTAGACCTGTTATTTAGGAAATCATGCAGCTGTGAAATATTTTCACTTCTCTGCTGTGTCTAATGGCACCAGCAAGGCTTTCACTTTCATTATGAGAAACAAAAATATGGCAATCTGTACAAACATGCATGGGGAGAGGGTGGGGAAATTTCCCAAGACATCGTATGCTCAAAACGCAGCAGAGAGGGGAAGTGGGGTCGCCTGAAGCCAAAC